TGTAAGAGACAAAAATCTTTGCAACCTCTTACCAGATTTCCTGTAATGCACATCACAGTCTGGTTTACTACTTAATAATGAAACTATTTTCTTTCTCTGCTATCTTTATGGAGAAGTTTTCTGGGTTAGAGAGGATTTTGTTTTTAATTATACTTCCCAATAATAGTAGTTCCACTTCCCACTGAGACATGAATTAGCAGTATAAACCAAACCTCGTTCTAAAGGGAAACTTAGTAGTGTCTATTAATGTAAGTTTAGTCGAAGAGGAGATTATAAATACCTTTTTGCCTATAATTCATCAACATCATGGAGATAATAAAACTTAATACATGTGTGTGTGCATGCAAATTTAATAATGCTTTACTTTTATTCTTGTTTGTTTTCTGTTTACTGAGACTTGGCACACAAATTGCTTCTTCTGTAAAATGCTGGTTTTACATGCCTTGCCCATTTTTACTCATTACTTAGCATTTTTTATTATCCTGTTTATTAATCATCCTTATCTAATAAAATGAGCTGCAAATATGTGTCTTTTGCCTAATTTTACTCATATAATCTTGTTACACATGATACATTATGCAATCAAATGTATTTTCTTCTTTGTTTTCGAAATTAGAGAATTTAAAAGAGACTTTCTTAGGCTAATCTTTGCCAACATGCCAAAGTTTTTGTAGTTCTATTTCTTATATTTACATTTGTGTTTAACTCCATATTGTATCATTTTGGGGAGACAAGGGAAAGAAATACAATCTACTTTATTTTCTAAATGCCTTGCCAGATGTAGCAACCATGCTTGTAGATTAGTCCAGCCTCTAAGAACTCTTAAGCTTAAGCAAATGTATATTGCATGTTCACTGTTCAAAGTGTTCAATCTTTTTAATGAGAATGATTTGTAAGTGGAAATGAAAGTGCTCTATTTTAAGTTCTCACGTGTTCAGTAATACCACACATTTCAAGCTGAATAATGCTTTATTGCTACTTATCATTTTTGTTTTAAGTATATTTATTTCTTTTGAAAGAGAGATGGCACCTCCAATAGGATATTCACTCACAAACTTCCCATACTCCCAGCTGGCCCGTATCATGGGCACACCCATTCCGTGTGCTGTATCCACCGGGAGGTCCTTAGACTCAAACCAAGGATATTCCCATGTGAATTTTGTTGTGCCACCACTACACAACTGTCTGTCCATCCTCCAAGTTGTGATATTTTATACATGAACATCAGAGTTTTCAGAAAGCAAGTTTCTGAGCCCCTTCCCTAGAAAACTAATTGCTTAGTTTTCTAATTATAGTTCAGGAATTTTCATTATGTTCATGTATACATTTCAGGAAAAAAAGGAAAAGTTACAGTTTATGGTAACAATCACATTAAGAAACATTATTGGGTTATAGAAATAAAGTTGATTAGAAAACTGGCAATCTTATGATGCCACAGGCTCATGAAAAGAGATACATATCCTTGGATATGGTGAAATAGTCAATACTTTTTGCCAGTGTCTCAGTTAGTGTGTGCATGTGTTATTTATATATTAATTTACATATTATATACAGGCAGTGGATTTTTCAAAGTGGATAAGGAAACCAAAGTATTCTCTTTTTTCCTTCAATCACTTGTTTTATTTCTTATAGTTTACCCAAAATTCAATATTTTTTTGAAGAGGTTTTTGCTATACAGCGTGTGCGCTCACCAGAAAGACAAAGAGAGACAAAGAGACAGAAAGCAAGAGAAATCACCCCTCGGGGGATTGACCACTCTGCAATCTCTTCTCCTCCTTTCTCCTCTCAGGATCTTGGGCACACATGCACATGCGTCCGGTGTGAGTTTAAGTCACTGTCCGGGACTTGAACCGCAGTTGACTACATGGGAGTCCAGCAACACAGCGATTACACTAACAACCGCTGGTCCCCCTAAATACAATTTTTAAAAAGGTCTTTGCCATAGGGAGTATATGTTCTCTGGAGAGAGACAGAAAGACAGTGAGAGGGAAAGTGAGAAATCACTCCCTTTGGATTACAGCCACAATGCAATCCCTTCTCCATTTTCCTCCTAGGATTTTGGACATGCATGCTCATGCGCTTAGTGTGATTTTTGAGTTGCCAGATCCAGGCTTCAAACAGCTGTTGTCTTTGTGGGAACCTAGGGACATAACCACTATGCCAAACTGTTGGTCCCTCAAATTTTATTTTAAAGTTACAAAAATTGTAGCAAGAATTCAGGAGTTACTCAAAACTCCTAAACTGTGAGAAATGATAAATATAATAAACTTTTAGTTCCATATAGCTTGCAGAAAAAGCAGTTGCTTAAAGTACTGTCCACTAGGACTGGCAGATGCCATGGTGGTTAGGGCACTGGACTCCCACAGGGCTGATTGTGGTTTGAGTCCCAGACATGGCAGTTTGCTTTCTCACTGCCTCCTCATCCCATTTCTCTCTGGTCAAATTTTAAAAATAATAGTAATAAATAAAAGTAAATAAATGTTTTTAAAAATACTGTCCATCCTTAGATTACCTTAAAAAGGAGACAATAGATATCATTAAAAAAAAGGTAGAAAAAAATTGCAGTATTCCTAGATTTGGTCATGGTGGTACAGCCCTGAAGTCCCAGCTCCTGGGAGGCTGAGGCAGGAGGAGTACAACATAATAAAACCCTTTCTTTTATTTTTTTTAAGAATTATTTTATTTAACTTTATCCATTATTTATTTATTTTAATTTGACCAGAGAGGGTTAGAGTGAGACAGAGAGAGAGAGAGAGGAGAGAGAAAGTGAGAAAGCAATCTGCCAGGTCTGTGACTCAAACAGTGGTCAGCCATGTGGGAGTCCAGCGCCCTTAACCACCATGGCATCTGCCCGCTTCATAATTAGTCCCTCTCCAAGAGAAAGAGAAAAAAATAGTGCAATATCCCTGAATTTGAATTCAGTGCTAAATCAGTTTAATATAGGCTGGATATATTTATTTGCCTGATATGATCATTACTCGTTGCACATGTTTTGAAAAACCACACTGTACCCTACAAAAATGTACTATTATATGTAAGTTAGAAATTGCAGTAAAAATATTTAAAAATTAAAATTGGGCCAGCCTGTTGCCTGGTGATTGAGAGCTGAACGCACCATGCAGTTTTAGTCCCAGATCTGGTGGTTTGAAAACACACCAGGCACGAATGCATATGTGCCCAAAATCCCATGAAGAAATGGAAGAGTTTGCAGTGTGATCATGCCCCATGGGGGAGTACTTTCTCCTTCTCCCATTTTCCCCAACCCCCTCATCTCTCTCTCTGGTGAGTACATGCACTCTGTGGCAAATTTTACAAAATGAAAATCATATATTAAAAAAGGGAAATTTCCAAGGAAGCCAATTTCTTTCAGTGCCTATGTTGAATAAGCTTTATACACCTAACATTTGGGGTTTGATATCAACATTTCATACTACTTACACGATTGGATATTGAAATATAAAGAGGTTAAGCTTATACTTGACGTAGATAGGAAAAAAAATAGAGTATGACATGTCTTGGGTAACAAGATTTAATTTGATATTTTAAACAAGGGGCTATATTAAATGCTAATTTTTATTTTTTTAATTGGTAGAGGGCACATATCCTTAAAAAAGAAAGACAGAGAGAGAAAGAGAGAGAGAGAGAGAAAGCAACCTCCGTGGGGGGTAGTCATGCCACAGTCCCTTCTCCATTTCTCCATCCTGTTGGGATTTGGGAAACACATGTGCTTGGTGTGTTTTTCAAGCTACCATGTTGGAATTCAAACCACTTAACCATGAGGCTATGGGGCTGGCCTGACAAATATTACGTAAATCAGGGTCTTCTATTTTTTCACTTCATAGAATCTATTTGTCCAAGAGATCAAAGGTGTTTTTTCTTTTAAAATATAACATGTAAAAATATTTGTCGTATCTATGCAAGTTTGAAATTTAAGGCAAAAGGGATCTATATTTTATAGCCCATGAAAGTACTATTTATTCCCAGGACACACCTGTTAGCACAAATGCAATTGTATGCTGTTTTTCTGGTTTCAATTAATTCACAGATCTCCCCTATAGAATTTCACTTTATGTAGAAGACAAATTTGACCGACATCTCACTTTTCATTAGCTTTTGCTTATGTCACAAAACCCTTAAAATTCCTTTGAAAGGAATACATCAGACTTTGCACACAGTATAAAGTCCCTTAAAAATGAAATGCAAAGTGAAAGTGTTTTTTAAAGCAGAAAATTATACCTCATGATGCTTTTCTAGAACAACGCTACTTCAAAATAAAAATTTCAGTTAAAATATTTATTCTTCTCCTTCACTGGGTTGAATGGTAATATAAACGTGAATCTGTCTTAAGTTTCTCGGGCATTATATTCTAAATATTCAAAATCTTATATAAAAATGGCATTATATATTCTAAATATATTTAGATATATTCTAAATATTCAAAATCTTATATAAAACCATGGATGACCTAGTTCCTTTCACAACTCCTCACAATACATAGCACAGAAGCTGATATTTAATTGTATATGCTTTGAAATAAATCCTCTCTTTGACCATTACCCTTACAGATTTCAGAGGACTAGCTCCTGTGAGAGAGAACTTCAATGGTAATGTCCATCAGGCTCTCAGTTACGAATATAAACATAACAAGCAGGAAGAAGAGCAGAGAGAAAGAACTAGGGAGAAAGAAGAAGAAATGTTAATTTACATTGTTTCCAAATAGAAAAGACCAATTCCGGAGACTATCATAATACAGGTATGGCGTGAGTACTGAGTACACCTGAGGAGTACTGTATTGTGTTGAAGAGGAGGGACCACATGCCACACCAGCTACTACTGGTTAAATAATAAAATTGAAGGGACACAATTTTACATGAAGTACAAAAGTTTGGGGTCAAAAACTGCTAAACAGGAACTTCAAGGCTTTGTGGTTAAAGGAGTTGAAAATCCTCAATGAAAAGCAAGGCTGAATTATGGAGACAAAAATACAGTCAACAAAACCGGAAGACAGCAGGTAAAGTTTTATTACCATCCCAGTGTTTATACTATAAGCTACAATTTGAAAGTCTTACAAATCATTTAAAAAGACATTAAAAAGGATGTAAACATTATCCTCCACATGCTGGCAACAGCAAAATCTTGTGTCATCCGTTAAGTTGCTGAGCCACTAACTGTAATACTTCTCCAAACGCTCCATCTTCAAATAGGCCTAGGCACCTGTTGAGGCTGCCTTGCTGAAGCGCCAGCAGGGGAAGATGCACCACCAGCGTGCCATCCCTAACTGTTCTCCAGAACTCGCTCAGACCTGAGGCAGCACAGAGCCTCAGCCACGTCAGCAACACTGGGATTTGCTCTCTGCTCTCAAGGTCTCCTGGTGCAGTTTAATTTTGCCCACATCGTTTTCTTCATTAGGAAAGTTCTGATGGTTTGCAAGGATATTCTCCACTAGGAACCGCGCAGCTTCGTCTATGTTTATGTTATCCTGTAATACAGAAGAGAACAAGATCAACTCCTGGGATTAAGGCTTAGAAGAAAGCAATGAGTACTAATGAGAAGAAGGAAAAACAGTCGGAGGGGGTATTAGAAGTATACCCGCTACCATCATCTTCTCTAATATTGAAGTGTTTTTCTAATACTGCAGAGTTCCATGCTACTGAATAACGTGGTATTGATGCTATTGAGTAATGTGGTATTGATGCTACTGAGTAATGTGGTATTGATGCTACTGAGTAATGTGGTAGATGTTCCTGTTTTAAACTTTTGCCACTGAGCTAATGATACAATTGAAAATGAAGCTTCACCTGGGCTTCCAGGTGCTCTGCACTCCCACTCACATAAATGAAAGGACTGAAAAATCCCTGTCCTCAATATTTAATTCTAATGTGTACAGTACATTGTGGGCAACAAAGTGAATAAATTATGATAAAATGCACCATCACTTCTTCATCCCCAAGCACAAGTTACCACATTTATTTATTTATTTATTTGAGAGACATTTTTGCTATAGGGCGTGCATACACTCGCCAGAGAGACAGAAAGTGAAAAATCAACCCCTGGAGTGATGCCACAATCCCTTCTCCATCATTCTCCTCTTGGGATTTAGGGCATGCACACACACACATCCAGCTTGAGTTTCAAGCCTCTGGGTCCAGGATTTGAACTGTAGTTGATTATGTGGGAGTCCAGTGCCTTAACCACTATGCTACCTGCTGGTCCCACTACTTTTAATAATTAATTAGGCATTAGTAAGCCTGAAACAAGCCCGTGTGATGTGTGTCAGCCACCACAACATGTATGAGTGATCCATCATTAATATGTAACAGGTAACACAAAAGCAAAGACTGTGCATATTTTAACTTTTAATTTTTAAATAATTTCAGATTTACAAGAACATTGTTAGCAATAGTAAAATTTTCTGTATACCCTTTTACCCATATTCCTCAAATGTTAGCGTCTTAGCTAATCAGAGAACAATTATCAAAATCAGGGAATTGGATGATAACATTGTGTCGATGTTTAACTATCAGCCTATTCCAGTTTCACCAGGTATCTCAATGTCCTGTTTCTGACCCAGACCACAAGCTGTGTTACGTTGTCCCCTTTCCCTCGTCACCTGCAATCTAGACAGTTCTTCCATCTTCTTGCCTTTCATGACTTTGACTCTATTGGAGAGCACTGGCCAGAGAAGTTCCTCAATCTGTGACCATTTGATGTTTCCTTATCTTTAAATTCAAGATGTGTGTTTTTGGCAGGAACAAGGTACAAGACCTATGTTCTTCTCAGTGCATCAGGAGACACCCTTGCTTAAAGCTGCAAATGCCAAGTTTCCTCACCAATGAGTCACTCATTTTCTTTTTGTACTTAGTAAATACAAGTGTGTCAATATCTTATTTCTCACCATACTTTCTCCATTAATTTTATTAATCATTCATCTTTTATAGTTAATGTTGGGTGTAATGGTGACTTTCTATCTGCCCTTCTATATTTGTTAATTGGGAATCTACTGTTAGGAAGGCATTTTCTTTGCCCTTATTCATTTATTTATTGATATTATGAATTATTATTTTATGCTCTGAGTTAAATCCTTTACAATAATTTTTACCTTGTTGCTCAAATTGTCTTAAATTTCTGGAATTCCTCTAAGTAGACTCCTAAGTAGCTTAGGAGTGGTGGAAGGGTGTGGTCTGGCATGTCTCCATCATTTTGTGAATGCTTTCTTAGTTTCTTGTTCTCCAAAATATCTCAGGCACCCTTTTACTTTCTTGTCTCAGCCATGGACTAGGCATTATCTCCAAGGATCCTGATTCTTCTTACTGGGAAATGGTATGCATAATCAAATTCTAAGGCCCAGCTAAATTGATTGGTTTTATGATGCTATTGCTTCTAATCTCTCTCAGCAAATAGAGCTAGGCAATAAATGAATGCACACACATACATAACTCGATTGCTTATCTCTGTTTATATACATATATGCATATGTGTATATACAGCCTTGGACTGTATCATGCTCAATTATGGGCCACATATACATCGGTGACCCATGAGGAGCCTATAGGCTGTATCATGTAGCTGAAGTGAATAGCAGACTATATCATCTGGTTTTGTACAAGTATATGCTAGGTGTTTACACAAGGAAATCACCTAACAATGCATTTCTCATCATGAATCCCTGTCATTAAACAATGCATGACCATATACATGTACAAACAGAAATATATCTATGTATATATGTATGTGTATATCTATACACACGTATATATATATATATATATATACATATTTATTTCATAATTAGAAAAACTTAAGTTCATACTGACACCTCCAATCTGATCTACCACCACGAGGTTGTCTTTATAGACTTCTCACTTATTTGTAATACCATTCTCAGACACCAAGAAACATATCACTTATGTTCTTCCATAGCACTGACACAATTCATTTATTTTTTTCTTTTTTCACATTTAATCACTGTACATCTTTAAAGTGTACAGTATGTTTTTCCCAGCATGAATATAATGAATATTAGTCAAGTCAAAGACATTACCATATACATTATCATCAGCAGATAACATTTCATTTTTTTGTCTCTTAAATGTGTTTGTTTTTTCCTTGATCCTCTACCTCCCACCCACTATTACCCACCACCCTCCAATACTACCTGTACTATCTACAGGTGTCCTCCCTGCCATTATACCATCCAATCTTTCAGCCTATAGAGTGTAGACATTTGGTGTATATTAAACAGGGAAATACAATGCCTGTCTTTCATAATCTGATCTGCTTTGCTTAGCATTAATTTCCATATTCACCTACTTTATATCAAATGTCAGGGTCTCCTTGTTTGTTATAACTGAGTAGAATCCCACACAGTACATGTACCACATTTTTTCAATCCACTCACCTGTTCTTGGACATTTGGGTCAATTCTATGTCTGCAATAAACATGGATGTGCAAATGTTTTCTGACTGAGGGTTTTCCTATCCTCTGGGTAGATACTAAAAGTGGAATTACTGGATCGTGTGTTAGTTCTATTTGTAGGCTTCTGAGGAACCTCCATATTGTTTTTCACAGTGGTTATACTAATTTACATTCCCACCAATGGTGTACGAGGGAGGGCTCCCTTTTCACCACAGCCTTGTAAGCACTTACCATTCTTTAGTGTTTTAATCTTAGCTATTCGGACTAGGGTTAAGTGATATCTCACTATGGTTTTTATTTGCATTTCCCTTATAACAAGATACACTGAGCATATTTTCATATGTTTTTGGCCATTTGTATGTCTTCCTTGGAGAGCTGTCTGTTCAGCTCATTTTGCCCATCCTTCAACTGGATCAATTTTTTATTTTCTTTTTCTTTTTGCAGAGAAGCTGCTTGAGTTCCTGGTATATTCTAGTTATCAGTCACTTACCTAAAACATAGTAAATATATTCTCCCACTCTGAGGATTATATCCTTTCTCTAATTATTGTTTCTTTTGCTGTGTAGAAGCTTTTTAGCCTGATGTAGTCCTCCTTGTCTATTTTTGAGATTATTGTCTGTACTTTGGGGATCTAACTTAAAAAGTCTTGGGACCAGCAGTTGGTGCAATGGCTATGTCGCTGGACTCCCATGTAGTCACCTGTGGTTTGAGTCCCAGATCGGGTGGCTTAAACTCATGCCGTGTGCATGTGCGTGCATGCCCATGATCCTGAGAGGAGAAAGGAGGAGAAGATGCTGGGCACATGTGTGTACATACCCAAGATCCAATAGGAAAATGGAGGAGAAGAGATTAAAATAAATAAATAAGTAAATAAATAAGTAAGTAAATAAATAAATAAATAAATAAATAAATAAATAAAATCTTTGTCTACTCCAATGTCTCTAAAAGTTTTCCCTGTGTTTTCTACCAGCAGTTTTGTAGTTTGAGGTTTTGCGTTTAGATCTTTGATCCATTTTGAGTTGACTTTTGTTAATGGTGACAGAGAGGTAGAGGTCCTGTTACATTTTTCTGCAGATAGATATCCAGTTTTTCCAGCACCATTTGCTGAAGAGATTTTTCCCTCCACTGGATTGCCTTGTGCCCTTTGTTGAATATCAGCTGGCTGTATGTTTTGGGCTTTACTTATGAGATCTTAATTCTACCTGCCTGTTTTTGTGCCAATATTATGCTCTTTTGATAATCATAGTTGTACAATATTGATTATTATAGTTGTGTAATATCTGACCCTATTTTTTAAACTCCATTCCAAAGATAAGTATTAACCTTAATTTAACTACTGGTCTTTGAACTCCGGTGTCATTCAGTTCTGATCAACCTCATTACATCATAAAGTATAAAATTCTCTAACTACATTTAGAAGCAATTGTCTAGGAATAAAAATTGTCATATGGTAATATTATTAGTCACAAAGTTTTATACTTGAAATTCATTATTTTCTATAAAGGTGAAGTGGCAACCTTCATGAATTCAAAATTGTCTTTTAAAATTTATACCACTGAACTCAAGCAAAAACTTAGACATGCAGTTAGTTACTGGCCAGCCAGAAGTATATCTATTAGGGACATTTATATAGTACTTTAAGCTTCACTTTAAAGTTTTTAATTTAATTTTATATTACTGTCACTCTCTTGGAAAAGTCCTTATTTATTACTAAGGACATTCTGCAGAAGATATTTCTAATACATTTGTAAGGAAGCACAGGGCATTTCTGAAACCTTCACTCTTAACCAATGTTTCCTTCTCAGCTATACATGGAATCCTGTTTCTAAATGTAAAGAAGTTGATGATTTGCACAATATGAGAGCTCCAGGTCAAGGTCACAGGGCATATTATTTATGAATCTTACATCTAGATTCTGAGGGCACATTTGGATTTATTACATGAGTGGTTACCATGAATAAAACAGAGAAGAAGTTTAATTTGCAATACATCAAAATCCTCTACCAAATCTCATGCTCTGATAGACATTTGCATATATTGCTATCTTTTTCCCCCAACAAAGATAAGAAGTAAAGTGAATCTCTGAAAGACATACGGAGCAGACAGAGGACATGGCAGTCCAGAATAGGTCTTTCTCTACAGAAAACTTTCCTTCTGTGATTTTCTCTGCACTGAGACTAAGCACTCACATAGCACCCAACTCCCTGCCACCACTACGTTTAATTTATGAAAGTAAATTTTAAGATGCTGTAATATACTTATTTAAGAAAATGGTCTCTAAGTTAAGAGTATACAGTTAACCCTCCAGGAAATATTCTTTTTTTCAGTGACTCCATCATCACTCAATACATCTGGAGCTGCACTTAGGTATAGTCTCTCATCACTTGGATTTTATTTTGATCAGCACTGGTGAAAATAATCTTTCACTTCAAGGGTGAGTTTCTACTAAAGATAAAAGTAAACTGGTAGTAAATCCTAAAATGAAGGATACGATTTATAGGAAAAATAATAGTGTGTGTGTGTGTGTGTGTGTATGTGTGTATATATATATATTATATATATACACACACACACACACATATACAGTATATATAGTTATATGTATATATAGATATATATATCATGTTTATATATATGCACACACTATATAATACTATATTTAGTGTGTATATATGTATAGTGTATACATATATAGTGTATATGCATATATATGTATAGGAAATATATAGAATAGATACCTAAAACTGAAAGTGTATTAAGATTATACTAAATTTATAGTGTATTGCTTATTTGTCATCACAGAATGTCTTAAACGTTTCATCATTTTCATATAAGTCTGTTATTCAATCTTTTTATGTGGAACTTCTAATGCACATAACCTTACCGATATTTTATGTTTATGATTTTTATTTTCAATTTCCTATAGATCTAGACTGTTAAGATTTCAGGGCCAGCAGGTGGCATGGAAATTAAGGAGCTGGATCTCACATGTTCAACTGTGTGGTTTGAGTCCTGGACCTGGTGGCTTGAAAATCACACTGGGCGCATGTATGTGGGTGCCCAGGATCCTAAGAGGAAAATGGGAGAGAAAGGACTGTGACATAACCATCCCCCCGTGAGGAGGGTATTTCTCACTTTGTCTTTCTCCTCTCTCTCTGTTGAGCACATGTGCCCTATAGGAAAAACAAAACAAAATGAAAAACTAAAATAAATAAATAAATAAGATTTCCAAAGGCCATCTTACTGCTTTTTTTCTTCAAAGAACTTTTTATCCAGCTTCCATCATCGATAAAAATAAAGAAATTCTGAAACTACTATTCACGAAGCATACCACTGTCTTCTTACCCAAATTCTCAGAAACACTTAATCTAAAACTCTTCAAACATCATCTGAATAAATCTTCCTTCTGACCTTTTCAGTGCCTTCCTTAGCCATATGTGTAACATGCTTCTTCACCAGGGACACCTTTTATCATATTTCCATAAGCCTTTTATAGAAATCAAGAATGCTTGTGCTTGACAATACTCCTTATCCCCATCCATTCTAGTAGCATGGTAAGTACCTTAAGAATTCAAAGTATCTCACTTTTTGTCTCTCTGTCTCCTTCTGGTGAATGCACACGCCCTATAGCAAAAAGCTCTCAAAAAAAGAAAAAAGAAGAATTCAAAGAGTCATTTTCTTTTTGTTCTAAATAAAAATTCATTTTACTTTAACATAAACTCTGCCCTCCTATTCATTTCCCCATTAGCTAATTTTGAGAGCATTCTTGCTACAGACTGAAAGAAGCTGTAATATATCTTTGCTATGCTTTGCTTTCCTTAGACTTTGGAAAACCATTCACAGAAATCCATCTTTAGGGCCAGCTAGTGGCATGGTGAGTAAGGTGGCTAGATCTCACATAGATGATCCTACAGTTCAAATCCTGGACCTGGTGGTTTGAAAAACACACCAGGTGCATGTGCATGTGTGGCCAAAATCTCAAAAAGAGGGAGAGAGAGAGAAGAAGAGATTTGGTGAAAGGATTTACCTTCCTTCATGGGAGGATGTTTTCTTACTGTCCTTCTCTCTCTCTGTCACTCTCCAGTGACTATATGCCCTTTGGCAAAATTAAATTAGAAAAGAAAAGAAATTCATCTTTATAATTGCTTTATAGTAACTGCTCAAATTGACAATCTAACAGCAGATCGGGTTCATAAGCAAAGCAGGTCTCACCTTTGCAGAGGTTTCAAACCATCCAGTGAAGCCATGTTCTTTACAGAATTGGTCCATCTGGGGAGGATTCTGGCCACCATCCCTTTTCTGGTCACACTTGTTAGCTAGGAGGACAGTAGTTGCCATTTGGAAGATGAACTTTACTATCCAGATCATTTTTCCATTTTAGGACTGCCTCAAAAGTAGAACTTCTCGATATATCAAAGACTACAAAAGCACCAACAGCTTCCTTGTAGTACACTCGGGTCATGTTGCCAAACCTTTTTTTTGGAAGAAATATATTAAGAGATTAAAAACTCAGAATCCAGACAGATCTACAGTTATGTATTACCCCTTTGACTCAAGGAATAATACCTTAAACAAATATCTCCCATTTCATGGCAACATAAACTGATGGGATTAAGGCCATCTCTACAGAACCATGACTCAGCAGTAGAAATAGCAGTAATCTGATTTGAGCACACAATTATGCTTTAGTTTTGTGCTTTGTGCATGTACAATACATTCTTCATAAACATTTATATGACAGTATTTAAAACTACACATGGGGCAAGATGATGGTGCATGGGTAACACAAATGGACTTGCAGGGGAAGGTCCCTGGGTTTACATCTTAGAGCTTTCCTGTATACACCAGGTGCATGTGTATGTATACCTGGGATCCAAGATGGCTGAGTCTGAGAGTGGACTGTACCGTGGAGACCCCATTGGGGGTACCTGTCACTCTTTTACTCATGGAAGAAATAAATAAACTTAAAAAAATAAATCTATAAGGTCTGTCATTTCCTTCATCTCTCCTTTGGTTTAAGAGAAGTGACACAAAAGGAAAAAGAAAAAGAAAACTGGGAGTGGACCAAGATGTGACAAGAACAGAGAAAATAAAGCTTGCAGGAAGGAGATAAGTGCAGTGGGTAAAAGGCTAGATTCATGCTGGCCATGAGATAAAGTAGCTCATGTTCTCAAGTTCTATCTCTGTCCCATCTCTAGCCTATGCCTGCTTTTGACTGCACAGCATGGATCTCCTCTAACAGGCAGATATGTGAAAACTATTTCAGAACAAGAAGTGGCAGAACTAACTGTGTAATTATAAGAAGGATCAATTGTAGAGTTCTTCAAATGCCATTGCACTTTTAAGATAATTTAACTTATGTTAAACGTGTATTAAACTGCTTTTCTGAGCTGGTTGCTAAGTTACAACCAATCATAGCATAGTTTTCAGTCAATCACAGGCATCCCATCTTTTAAACCATGTTAATGCTGACAAACTTCAGAATATAAACAATGATTTCTCTACCTCACTCCCTACTTAACGTTTTTTGTATGAACTTTCCTGTTCTGTTGATTTAAATGCCGAGTTGACCACGAGGGTGCCTGATTTAAATCATGTTAAGACTTGCTCTATTAAAACTCTACTCTATTAAATTGGCTGGTTTATTTTTCTTTTAACACATGCTAGAAAAAATAAGCTACTGCTTTCTGTATTATGTAGGACTTTGCAAAACATGCTCACACTGTCTGCCATGTTACTCATCTTTGACACAGGAAGGACCCTTATCTTTGTCTTCCAGACACAAAAAAAAATGGCAAAAAGATACTTTTCCAGAATTACAGTGGCACTGACTAGGATAAGATCTGGGTCTTCTGAAAACTGATGAAAGTATTCTGAACTTGCAGTTGTCTTGACTTTTAAAGCTCATACCTTCAGGCTGGCAACTACTCACTAGAGTGTGAAGGAAACATGACTGGCTATCAATGCAAATATAAGGTTTGTAACCCTTTGATCTATGATACAGACACCCAGGTATGACAGGACACTTTCTTATTAAGACACATGAAGAAAAATAAACTTTACATGTTTTTCTACTTTATTTGAACAAATGCAAAGTTATTCCAGAATACAGACTTTTCTCCTCCATATTCTAGAATGTCATAACATAATTTTTATATCGTTTTATGGAATAATAAAAGAATAAAAAAACCAAACCTAAATGGATAAACTTAAAGTTTGTCTTGTGACAACTCCTAAATGGGTTGATCTGAAGCTAAATTATGATAGTCCAGAGGTATGAATTTGATTATGAAAACTGATCACATGTGAAATCCATTCTCATGTTTTATTTGTCATATTTTATTGGTAATGTAAATCTGATCAGACAACTGTATAACCATTTGACCATAATCCTGACATGTATTATAAAGTTAGCATTGTACCATTTTCCATAAATGTACATCTAATCATCACATAGGGTATGCTCACAGAGAATGTGCTAACTATTCAAAATCAATCTCAGTATTCTGCAGAAAGACTATAGATGCATTAAAGTAGTTCAGATTCCAATTTCAACTAGAATGCACACATTACCAAGAACGTCTAATTTTCTAAATTTTATTTATTTAAAATGAAAGAACTATGGCAACAAAAGGAATTACCTCACAAAGACTGTCTCATATTAGAAAAGATTAAGACCTCCAGATAATTACATAGTTATCAAAAGGCATTCCTTGGACCATTGCTTTAATTTAGAAAATTGAGTGCGGTACCAAACTAGTACAAGTACAGAAATCCAGGAGTTATACAGAGCAATTAAGCTTTAGTAACTTTTTTTTTTAATAGTGAATCATCTGCAAATCCCAATGTGTACAAATGTGAGGGAATCACAGAATCACGCTGAAGCCATCTCTAGGCCCCTGTACTCCTACTGCATTTCAAAGTTTTTCAGTAGTAGCCCTGAATGCAGTTTCTAGTTGAGTAGAATTTTTACCGGGGACAGTCATTAAGACCCTCTAAACAAAATAAAGATCTTCCTGGTTCTTCTTCTCCTTCTTCTTCTTAGTGTTGTATCTGACATTTTTCCCTCTTGTTTTATTTATATTTCATCACTATATATTTTGCAGCATATAAAAGGAATCTTCCCAGCATGAACACACGGCATAGTAGTCCACAGATACTACCATACACATCATCCTTACACATAATTTCACACTTTGTGTCTGTTAATTTTTTTTCTTTTTCCCCTGATTTCCCTCCCCCCTCACACTGCCCACTGTCTCTAGTATCTGTAGCTGCTCTCCATGCCATTATATCTTCTCATCTTTCAGTTTCCATCATGGAGTGTAGACATTCAGTTTAATAAGTAGAAAGAGTTGCTCTCCATGCTTTTATACTTTCCAATCTTTTGGTTTCTATCATAGAATGCAGACATTTGGTATACATACACGTGCACACGCACACACACGCACACACACACGTGTGTGCCTCACTTTCATAGTCTGGCTTGCTTCACTCAGCATTAAATTTTCCATATTTGTCCACTTTCAATCAAATGCCATGGTCTCAATTGTTTATGATTGAGTAGAATTCCATAGAGTACATGCACCATATTTTTCAATCCACTCATCTGTTCTTGGACATTTGGGTTGATTTCATGTCTTAACAATTGTGAATAATGCTGTAATAAACATGAATGTGCAAGTGTTTTTCTGACTGAGTATATTTCTATCCTTTGGGTAGATACCCAGGAGTGGAATTGCTAAACGGTATAGTAGTTCTATTTGTAAATTTTAAAGTAACCTCCATAGTTTTCTCTACAGTGGCTAAACTAATTTACATTCCTATCAACAGTGTAGGAGAATTCCCTTTTCACTGCAGCCTTGCCAGCATATATACTTCTTTTTTTTTTTTTTTTAATCTTAGTCATTCTGAGTAGGGTTAGGTGGCATCTCATTGCGGTTTTGATTTCCATCTCCCTTATGATAAGGGATGTTGAACTTCCTGGTTCTTAACAGTAAGGAAGTTAGTGGCCCCTTGATCTCTTAGTCGCTGAATGTTCAAGTTTGTCAGACAACTCCTTCTAGCTTGCTGGAGAGGCAGGGCAGCAGGACAGCTGGGTCAGTAAGCAGCTCTCAGAGTGGGGAGTAGGAGAGGTGGAACCTGTACAGCATAGTGAGAATCAACCTCTACTGAATACCTCTGCCAATGAGTAAGTTAGCCTCTGCTAGTAGATTTTTATCAAACCCTCTGTGAAACTGTCTGCTTCATATTAGTTTCAGAGAACACATAGTCCAACCTCTGAGTATTTCTTTCTACTAATCATACTAAGTCATATGTAAATATTTACTCATATAAGCTTTCTGGGAAAGGGTAAGAAAATCAGGAATGTCTATGATAGGGAATATTGGAGAAGGACCTCATGACTTAGAAATATCAATAAATGGGGACCAGATGGCATAAAGGTCACATGATTGAATTCCTATGGAGTCGACCATGGTTTGATAATTGGATCCAGTGGCTTAAACTCATGCCGGGCATGTGTGTGTGCCCAAGATCCCAAAAGGAGAATGGAGGAAAAGGGATTGTGGTGTGGTCATTCCCCGAGTGGTGATTTCTCGCTCTCTGTCTCTCTCTGTCTTTCTGGTGAGTGCACATATCCTATAGCAAAAACCTCTCTAAAAAAACAAAAATCAATAAATGGGGCTAGATGGTGATAGAGAAGTAAAATACAATGCTCTGAAGTACACCTTTCATGTGGGAAGGCTGCTGCTTTCATCTGAAGACCTGAGTATGCTGCACCTGTGTGTGCCCATGATCTGGATTGATGATGGTGGGAGTGGGTCACAGTGTGAAGTCCTCATGAGGGATGCTTTGTCTTTCTCTTTTTCTCTTTCACTCATTCCCTTATGGAATAAATAAATAGACCAAGAAAGAAAGAAATACCAATTCATTGTACAACTCATATTCCCAAGAAGAGGACTGAAAGCTCCCAGTCATGAGATTTCAAAGTTATTTTTCAAAGGGCCAGCAGGTAGAGTGGTGGTTAAGGCGTTGGACACTCCCACATGGCCCACTACCCTTGAGTAGTGGACCTAGTGGCTTGCTTTCTCACTTTCCTTCTCTCTGTGTGTCTGTCTTTCTCTGGCCAAATGAAAATGATTGAATGAATAAATAAAATTAAATAAATAATTCTTTAAAAAAAAAAGGAAGTTGTTTTTCAAGCAATCACATTATATTGTGGATCAAAATAATGTCAACACAAGTAAGCAAATGAAAAGAAAACTGAGTGCCTGAAAAAAAAAATGCAAGTCATTCCTGATAAGGGACTAATACT